TTCAGGTCACGGCCGACGCTTCGTCCATCTTCAATGGCCTTGTTCGTGTCCAATTCCACCGCCCATCCACAAAGTCCTGAGCCGCTCTGATTAAAAAATAGATCACCATCATCTGAATGTTTATTCTAGACTTATATGAAAGCCATAATATTTAGATTCGCTGAAATTGTGACATTAAGAACTATCAAACTCTATTTGACAAAAAACATGTGACATGCCTAGATATGGTCATGATGACATCACATCATGATCATAAATATGCATATCATGACTATATGGGCTTACAATTTTTGTAAAAGAAAATTTGAGTCTGGACAGAGCTTGGTTCGATGGTATTGGCTAACTGGTACTCATTCGTAAAAATGTTTTATGATTTTTTTTTGTACATAGGCCTAATTGTATGTGCAAAGTACGCAGTCATAATAAAACAACAAACCTACTTGCATTATGGCTTGATCAAATAGATCTCGGCTGATTGGAGAAAGTAGGTGCAGATGAACGCTGGCGGCGCCGGCACTTTCACCAAATATGGTAATTTTTGATGGATCACCGCCAAAAGCTGTGTGATTGGGATGATAAAAACGGTTACCACATCTGAGATTTTTTTTTTTAAATTTAGTACACGCCATACAGTACACCAATTTTTTACACATATTTTATCATGTAATAATAACGTTATTTATTTACACCAGCGTCCAAGAAAAACCGACTAACGTGTTTGGTTACCTTTAATATTATTATTGATCCACTTCAATGCAAGCGCCTGGTCAAGCATCCCATAGTTTCCTCTGCCTTCATCATCACCTAAGCAAGTATATGTGTAATAATTAGGTATAACAGGTATATCGTGTTTGGCAACGACTGTGTTCCATAAGCTTTCCGGGCCTATTTATCTTGTACGGTATTTATTCATCTTTTCTGTATAATATTCATTAGATATTTTTACGAAATAAATTTTTTTAAATGAATGAATAATAATATCTAAAGTGGTCATACAGTTTGTAGTCAATCATTTTTAAAAGAGAAGAGGCCCACCTCAGCTAACGATTTTAGGTTGTACTGTAACAAGGTTATAATAACGTTGTATTCAAAACATTTATAAATTTTGTATCTATGACGTACTTGCCGCGGCCGCAACATTGCATTAATATTATGTTTTGACAATCTAACCAACGTTGACAACATTCGCGAATACTGGTAGGCCTATAATAAATTTTTGTTTGTTGGAGCCTTTTTAATGGACCTAAAGTGCCAATCAAACTTAACAACTGATCAATCAGAACAGGGCCAGGAATACCTACTTATCCAACAAACACTTGTGCTGTTCCACAACCGCAAGTACGTACGTGTATCGTTACGCTGTCCTTTTGTGAGACCTTAGCAACAATATCTAAAGGGCGGGGCTTAGCGGAAAGAAAAAATGTCAATTACGGTCCATGACGTCAAAACATTCAGCGCCAGCGAAGGTTCCGATTGTTAAACAAAGTCACGTACCGTGACTAGAACTGTATAACACAGTAATTATACAGTACTGCGATACACTGAACAAATAAGATAATATTAGTAGGTTGATGCCCTCACCGGTAGTTAAAAACCCAAATATACCAAGTCGATAATTAACATTAATGATTATAAGATCTCCAACAACTGACAGGACCGTAGGGTCGAACTCTGGTTGCGACGATGTTCCAACAACAAATGCACCTCCGTGAAACCACACCATAACAGGTCTCAAACGTACCTACAGAAAAAGACCAAATATCTAAACTACTAAAAAGACATTTCATTTCATTTTTTATTTTGTTTATTATCTCAAAACATAAAAAAACAGAATAACAAGAGCTTCACAGAAAAGAAAAAGAAGACAGGAACTCAAAACTGAGCTAAATCAATTATCAATAAACGGAACACAACAGTCATATATAACAAATAAAATTTTAAAAAACCAAAACAAAACAAAAAAGAAATAAAAGAAAATTCACAATTTATATAGTGTACATAATTATTTGAATTGTTCTAATTTTCGTCCATGTAGACCAGGCTATAATTGAGATAGGTGCCACTTGGAGAGGTAGAAATTCTCATATGGTTTTTCTAGACCAGTTTTTTATGGGGAATCAGAATATGTGAGGTAAAAGGGGCGTAACCTGAGAACTTTCGCGTGAGGGCGCTTTTTTGAAAATGGCCGCTAAAATCTAATAAACTACATATATATAGGTAAAATAAGCACAAAAGAGGTAGGT